ATCGCGTCTCTGATTGGGGCTGAAATCCAGGTAGGGGGCTATAGCACTGGGAGGACGCTATAGCCCCTTTAGCCCCCCCCCCTGCGCACGCCCTGACGACCAGGAGATGGATCCCGGAGTAGACTCGAGGGAGAGCGAGTCAGTTCGGAAGTTTGTCGTGAATTCTCGAATCAATAAACGCACGGGCGACTCAAAGAGGATATCTCGAATGCGTGGGAGTTTCCTCGTACTGGAACACCCCACGGCGCGTCTTCCTGGAGGCCCTACGTCAAGCAGAGACCGATTCGAGGCTTCCTCCTGCGGTGCCGCAATACTTTTGGCAGAGCATTAATTCAGAATCGAAACGACCGACGGCGTCGATCTCTAAACGCGACGGGGATTGTCGTCGAATCCATCAATTCCTCGAGCTTGTTCAACTTTCCACGCTCTGCCCTCTTCCCGGATCGTTCGCGCTCGGACTGACTACCCGATCGGAGGAAAATACCTACTCAGAGTTGGCTTTTCCCCTACGTGATGCGAAACCAGCCGATGATGCCCGGCTCGTCCAGTGCGGAGTTTCCAGTGGGGCCAGATCTATCGGCAATGCTTAAGGTCGATCACTGCAGGTTATTTCGTCTCTGTGGAGCGTCCGAGCGCTACGATTCGTTGGGATTCGTTACGATTCCCTGGCACGTGTCGAGCCGGAACGCTCGAGCGAGGCGGTCTCCACCTAGTGCAATAAAGTCGCTGTTTGTAGACAGAGATCACCTGTCTCTCCCGTCGAGGCAGAAAAAGAGCGAAAGCAAGGACGAATCACTTCGTTCAGGTTCAGTGTATTACCGCTATCCGCGAGCGAGCGAGGCGCCGATAAAGGCACGAAAGCCGGATAGGAAGGCGAGCGAGTGAGTGAGCGAGTTAGTGAGCAGGCGGAGGGAAGGACCGGCTGGTTCGCTAGCCTGCAGTCCGACAGGCTCGCGGCCGGGCGACCGAACGAGACAGAGTCACTCGCTAGAGCTCTGGCTGAGTACAACAATGCTAGAAATTTCCCCAGTCGACTCTCGGAAGGACCTTGGGAGGCGCCTGGAAGACTCTGCAAGCAGTCACAACCGAAACGCATTCAGAAACCGCGTGCACAGGTAGTAGATGAGATTGCGGCACAAGATCGACACTGAGTCTTCTCCTCTTCCTCGAGCTCCGCGGAGTTGATCGCGTTCTTGGAGATCCAGACGCCGCTGCTCGCGTTGAAGGAGCAACCTTTCGTGAGTGCTCAAGGTCGAACCAGAAAGTCGTCTCGAATGAGCTCTGCATCTTTCTGCAATGAACTCGTCTGTGATTGACCAGATATGATCGACCTCGGGCAAGAGGTTCCGAGTTCCGACGATGCTCTGAGTAAGAGGCTCCGTTATTTGATATCGCGATTCGAACTCCGATTTGTCGGATAGCGATATCCATACGAGTGACCGGAAAGGGGCCGGCAAACCCTGGAGCGGCAAATATGGCGGAGTCGACGATATACTCGTATGAGGGTACTCCGGAGGACGACGCGGGCTTAAGCCAGAGATGATCTGCCCTCCCCCCTCCCTCGGGGGGCCGATAGTCCTGCTGATCAATTCTCCCGATTCGAGGCAGACGAATCGCTTCGGGATGTGATTTTTCGGTCAACGATCTGCGTCGGGACAAATTCCAGCAGAGGATCCGACGATTAGTCGGGATACCCGTCTCTTGACGGGAGCTCGCTCTCGGCCCCGCGACCAGCTTGAGTTTCCCCTCGGACGTCCATCCAGGGGCTGTCCCGAACGTCATAACGTTCCCGTATTAGAGACTTTACGGAGCACACTATTCCCGCACTCTCATCGTCATACATTTGATGGCATCGCCGTGGAACCGACGTCAAATACCTACCCTCCTGCTTTTGACGCAGAGACTTCTCCTGTGACTCTCTCTCAAATGGAGCCGCGGATCGAACTCATGGATCGCTGTTTCTGGGATTCACTCCACCTGCAGCAGCTGCCTCCGTACGGGGCTCAAAACCGCCGACTGTGACGTGGAGCGCATGACGTCAGCGTGACGTCAGGTCTCCTGTTATAACATAGCGCAATTTTCGACGGCGGCCAGGTAGAAGGAGAGCGCTTCACAAGCAAACTGTGACGAGCAACCGATGTTGACTGAGTGAGTGAGAGCACGTCGTAGAAGCCACGGCTCGGATCTCCCCGACGACGTCGACTTGATGTAGAGCCTTGTCGAAACAAGACGGAAACGAATCTAAACCGAGCAGCATCGATACCTCTCCACGAGGCATAGTAGACAGCGCGCGTTTCGACAGAGCTCTGACCGAGAGCAGAGCGAGCTCGAGTTCCGCGTCCATCCTGGCGACGATGCCCGTCCGGAAAACTTGGATGTCTCGAACGCATTCGGCTTTGTGTCCCGGATGTGCCTTCGGCAAATCGGTAAAATTTGCACTCGGACTCCTAAGCGCAACGAGTACCGTTCGGTGTAGAGCGGCTCCGATAGCAGCCGTAGGGAAGAAGCGTGAGCTTTGCCCATCGGAGATCCGATACTGAGAAAGCTCATAAATGCAGATTCCTTTATGGTTATGGCTGGCCGCTAGAAGTTTCACAGAAAATCGTGTTAATCGCCCCGAGAACTTCGTTCGTCGACGTCGAGAATCAAACCACCGCGTCTCAGACGATGTAGACCGGGAGCAGAGCACGCAAGCAGATCATCGATATTGTGTATTGATCAAACTCTGTTCTCCTACCAATGCCGCCTACCATTCCGGTCTGGGCTCATCGGGTTTCCTGGGATCCATGTCAGTGATGGTCATGATATCGCGTTCAGAGCTCTCCCTCTCGTTCCACTGTCAGTCAAAACCTATCGACCTTGTAACGCTCGTGCCTGCTCCGAAACTATCGAATCGTCCCTCCGGGATGGTCCGACGGGTTCCGGACAGCAGCCTCCCGCCGCGACTGTCGGCGTCGCGGCGCGTCGCGACATTTTGCCGCGTGACTCGCGCGGGGCTTCGAAACCACTTGAGGGTTTCAGGAGCCGGAACAGCAGTTCATCGATAGCCTACTCTGGATAGTCTCGACCGATCGTCTACGGAGTTGACTCTACGCCCCCGGTCCAACACAGAAGCTCAACTCGGATGGTGTCTTCGTCAAGCGTAGAGACGCCGGAATCATCGGAGGAGGATCGTCAAAATTCCCCTCGAAGGGTTAGGAATGTCGATATGCAGAACAATGATCCGTAAGGACTCTCTGAATGGCCGACGTCTCGAGCTTCCGTTAAAATAGGTGGTTGGTTTACAACTAACGAAATCGATAGCATCCATGTCTGCGTGCCCGCGCGACGACTGCCCTAACGATCTGATGACGGCGCCGTTATTCTCGATTTCTAAATCTAAGTATTCAAGCAGCGAGCTGCAATTGCTCGGTGAGTGTTTCGGCGAAGTCATGACCGAGAAAGCTATCGATGGGAATCGCATAAGCGATCGATGCAGCACGGACAGTGTCTCCACAGCTTCTCGTACCGCTACGGTTCTACGGGCTTCCCGCTGTCACCCCACCTCGCCACAGCGACGCGACGTTGTCCTTGAAGATGAAATGCATGATCACCCCGCGTCGTGGTCGAGGGCGTCGACGTCGAACGAATGTGTGCCAGCGACACTATGATCTATTCGTCGATTTCCCTCAGCTTATCCATGCGTTGCTCTCGTCACATCTGTGATGAATACGGTAATCCCTCAACGAAGGCAAAGTTCAAATCGAGGAAAGGGTAACCGGAAACCTTCTTATAGACGTTCCCTCGAGAATAGTCAGTCAAAAATTGATCAGTTCTCGAGAACGAATGCTGGCGCACACAGTATTTGGTTTGGCGCTCGTCTGTCTGGGTGCCGGTCATGTCTTGACGGCGGCTCCATACGTCGCTCCAGCCGCTATCTACGGAGCGGTGCCTCCAATCGCGCCGACTACCTACGGAGGACCGACGCCTCCGATCCACCCCTACGCGTACGCTTCGCTCTACCACAACATGTACCCATATGGCCACAACCTTCCGATCCCAGTCCATTTTCGGAAATAAAGGAGAGACCGAGCTTTCCGGTCGCATCCCACCGTTTGTTCCAATCATATTCTATCAATATAGTGGAAAATAAATTTATGGTCCGAGAGGTTGCTCAATTGATCGTCCAACTCGAAGAAATGCTCCTCTGCGTTTCTCCCCGTACTGACATATACTCGCATCTTTTGAAGCCCCAATGACTTTTTTTGGACCGTAATGACTCGGGGCGGATGCAGAGTGGGAGGCCCCGAGAGTGGTCCTTGTACCGGGCACGTAAGGAAGACCTGGCTCCAAGGAGGAAGAATCAAAATCAAGAGTCGTTTCTCTTGAGGCCCACGATGAGAAACTTCTCAAAACTCGCAAGATCTAGGAATGCCTCGGGGCGTAATCATTGAAAAGAGTTTCTTATTTGGAATAACGGGACGACCTCGAGCAAACGTCCTGCCCTGCTGTTTTGCTGCACCGGACTAGAGAGCCCACGCATGACTCGCCCGACGAAGATTCCCGAGAAAGTTTCATTTTCCGTGGCTAGCCGCTCCCCGAATAATCATGCGCAGCTGAGGGGCTCTGGAAAATCTGATCTTCCTCTTGGAAACGAGCGGCGGGGATTTGCTTGTTCATCGTGACCTCGTGCAGGACGCATGTTGCCTCAGCGAAGTTCTCTCCAGATCATCTCCCCACGCAATTCTCTGGCATCAGGTCTCTGACAAATATTTCACCGGGGATGGGAATGGTCTTGACTCTGTCACATCCCACCTCATCCCTTCGAACCGCGGTTCCGAAAAATCGAATTCATTCATCTATTGTTATCAGTGAGGAAGGAGTGAACGTGAGGCTGGCGTCAATCGACGATGCGGCGTGCTCACATTCGACGCCGACGGTGCGGCGTGCTCACATCCGACGCCGACGGTGCGGGGGGACCAGTCAATATCCATTGCCGCTTTGCTCATACTCTCGCTGATGTACTCGTTGTTGTCGTCGTCGTCGGAGAAACAAGTAGTCTCAGCAACAGCCAAGCTTGCCAAGAACTGTAATCTGAAACCAGTCCAAGAATCGACGACGAACAGCTCAACGCACACGCACGTCGACCGCGTACAGACAATGCTCGTGATCAAGAGTATGTTGAGCAGAATCTGTCTCGAGAAACATTTCACCAGTGGGTCTGGAAGCTGCGTCAACGTCAGCATCAGAGTCTGCCTTTAGAGGGCTGCCATTCGAAATCGAAGCCCGGGCTATTTCTAATGATCGGTTCCGGAATCGGCGAGGCCGTCCGCTGGTGACGTCAACGGGCTCTTGAAATACCCGCCAAGTGAAACTCGACAGCGAGCTTTCTCTCAAAAGTGATAAGTCGTGCTCGATCAGTGATTCAATCGAACGAGAATACGGTTCCGATTACAGAGCGCATCGACGTCCTCGAGTCGCATCAATATCCTGCATGAATGGCCCGTATGGATATTCATGGGATAGCCCAAGTATCCGCATGATGGACTTTGGGCAGAAGTCCCGCTGAAGACACCATACGCCGGATAGAGACCGTGCGTCCGAGAGTCGAATACGCTGGCGCCTGGCATTGACGTCCCTACAGATGAATGTTCGGAAAGTGGAATCACTCTGATTCGTTGTGGTGTTTCCGGTAAGGAGAGCGGGAGACGCTCAAGTATTAAGCCCTTTCGGTCAGGGCCTTTGAGTCTTCCCGCTCAGCCGGAATCGAAATTCAAATCGAACAGCTGTTTAATCGAAGGCCGCTTTCGGTACCTACCATTTGGTCGCGATCTCAGTCCGAGAAGCATCCCTGTATCCTGAGAGGCACAGCACAGACTGAGAGCTCGGCAGAGCTTGTGTAGAACCTCGGCCTTCTTTCCCACGTCTTCGGATGAATCATGTCCTCACCTCGTATTTGTTCTCCTCTACTGCCGTTCTCTCTTGCTCGTTCGAATCAGCCGCGGTGTGAGTGCATGTTGTTACGAGTAGGTATCGCTGTCGTTGTTTCTGTCCACGGCTCAACCGCCCACATGCTTTTCCGTCAGATCGTACCGGGAGAATGAAAGCTGGAGTACAGAATTCGAGGTCCTGCGGCAGGAGCCGCCGACCATAAGCGCGGAGCTCCAACTCTGATACGTCGGCATCGTGACGTAGCTGTGACGTCGTTCGTTGTGACGTCGCTCGTGTCGTCATCGTCGTAAAGAGGGTAGTGGTGGTGGCCTGCGCGCTCGCTGGCGCAGGTCCAAACCGTGAGAGTTCCCATCCGTGGCTTCTGCTCGCCACCTAGCCAGGCTAGCCGCCCGCCTGCCTCTCCGCCAGCCGGCCTCTCCGCTCATCCGCTCGTTCCCCGCAACGTCGGTCCCCTCTCGCAGAGGCGGCCTACGTAGCTGATGTCGTCGTGCTCGTCGACAGGAGACATCGGAGCTACCGCAGGACCCTTTCGGGGATAGGAACTCTGTTGAATGCGATGGGTAGCGCCATCTCGTGGCTATGTCGTCGGCAGGCGTTATCCGACACAAAAACACTCCGTTTGTTTCCAAACAGTTGTTGAACGTCCTGCGGGAAAAGCTCCCCACGTCACAGAACGCTCCCGCGGCCGCCGCCGTCGTCGTAGTCGATATTCTGATCCTGAACGACAATGGCTCCGACCGACGTTGGAAGATAATGTCGCTATTTTTAGGGACAGAGTACGCAACTTCGTCGTCACGATCGCCTCAGAGTCCGTTCGTCATCACACAGGGAGCGGGATCGTTGGTCACTCGTTCTAATTTCTGGAACGCGATCACAGGAGACGCAGGTGCGCAGAAGTCCCATGTCGGGCTGCTAACACGCGCACTCCAGACTGCTGGCTTCGTTTGTCGAGCCAGTACCTAGTTCTCTGGGAGCTCTCTTCCCCGGTGGAGAATTCCCCGGACTCTGTCGCGAGGGCGTAGGGCATCGATGATTTCATGATGATGACCCCCTGATTTTCCCGACAGGCGACACTGACCGTGTCTCTCGACTCTTTATTTTCTTCCTTCCGTACCTCCCATCGAAGTCGATGCCAGCGGCGACCGATCACCGCGTCGAGCTGGCGCCTACTGGAGCGACGTCGATCATTGGAGTCCCATCCAGCGAAACTCCCGCGAGATGAGCTGGAGAAACTGAAGAAGAAAGCTACAACTCTTAACGAGGCAGCCTTGTGAGATACGAGGATTTCATTCTCTCGACAGAGGATTTTCAAGAGAGCGACAGAAAATGGAGGGGCCATTTGAGCATGGAGTTGACGCGCCACTGCGTTCACTGACTGTGTAGGTGCTCATACAGCGGATACATGTTTGACTCGGAGAGCCGCTTTTCGATCTGCCTACGTAGTGTGGATGACTGGCTTCCGAGATAGAACTCCTGATTGCTCGAAAGCTCGGGGTCCGCTGTGGATATTAACGTGTCGGAGATATCAGTCGGCTCGCATGAGGATTCGCATATCACTCAAATCTCCAAAGAGCCATCTCTCCCCTAAATGGGGACATCACACCCACGCTAGGTTCGAGAGGAGTAAATCCATGGGCGGAGCAAATGAGTTTGTGGGGATTTATTTCACTTTAGATACAGTTTCCCGGACCAGCTCCGCAGCCGGGACGGTATCGAGTTGCCGCTTCCCGTGAGTGGAGGCGTTGAACGAGGATCCTCGCCGTTTCACTTTAAATTTTCACCCCAAGAGGACTGCAGCCGAGGACGGAGCTCGGATTCATCAGGTTATGCTGATTACTGCTATTTAGATCTCCACATGAATGAGAGTGGCTTTGGGTTCCCTCGTGCCGCGTGGCGAAATTCACGCCATCCTGCGGAAGTCGAGCATGTCCCTCAGGGGTCCTCCTTTTTCGGGCGACCAGAAATTCACTCCCGATTCTCCGGCTCCCACACACAAGGGGCTCAGCAGCCGCGATGTAAGACCTTGGAAATGCGAGCGACTACCTAGCCGAACAACTGGCGCGTATGGCGTCCTCCGTCGTGGACGAGCAATTAAGAGGGAACTCGAACAAGTGCTGGTATTCTGGGCGGGGATGAGTTCCCCGGCGCCTTCGAGCCTCCGTGGGGATTCTTGTAAAAATTCCCGTGAGAGCTTTTCGAGATGCGAGAGCATAAGAGAAGTCATTCCTTGCTGCTACCTCCAAAATCCGGTTTGTTGCTCCGCCGCGCCGTGAGATATTTGATCACGCCAGAGGGAGCTTCTTCGCGGAAGTAGTGGATCCGTCTTCAATAGAGCATTAGGCTTCATTACTAGAACTCGAGCAGCTCGAGCTGCTCACATGTTCCGACCCACAATCGATGTTGGCTGTGACAAAAAAAAGACTTTTCTCCTACGAATCGGTAGTAGCCCACCGATTCTGCGGTAAGGCAGGCTATCGATCGGACGAACAAGTGGATGAACGAGCGAAACGACCGGATGGCAAACATACGAGCGAAAAACAAGCCAGCGCTCGCGGGGGGTGGCAACGCACATCCAAGTGAGCCCAGATCGGCTAACGGACTTGAGGCAAAAACCCTAATCTGAAACATTCCGTGATCCCTTGGAAGATCCCATCCT